CTATTTAGAAAATTCCCCGTGTATAATCATAATTAAATTTACTCGTATCTATGATTTAATAAACATAGTAGATAATAATTGTTTAAATAACAAAATATTTCAACGACACAAGCTAATTAATAAATAGTTATTTGGAATTTTTTTGAAGTAGATTATTAAATTTGAAAATAATATGTTGATTGATTTTAATGATTATTGGCGTACTCTTACATTTTTGGACCTTCTTTTCACTTTAGCAAAAATAGATGTATAAAATAAAATAAAACTAGATGTAAGTTTCATTTAGCCTTGTGGCAAGTTGCATGAACTTCTCGAAGTGTATTAATAATCAATTTATTAATTTAATCAATATAATCTACCTGTCTATCTGTTCACCTGTTTAGCTGCCAACTTGCCTACCTGTCTACCGTATTTCTTTTTTACTTTTTTACCTAATTACTTGTCTACCTATATACTTGTATTATTTTCTTATTTTTACCAGTTTTTGCCTCGTATCTCCGAAGTTGCAAAACCTACCTTCGCCAAAAGCTAACTAGCACGACTCTCCATCTTGATTTGTGTTCCTGAAATTCGACGAAAATTTGTATTTGTACATACATACACACACACTTTTTCGTTTTTTCTAAGGTATACCAAAATGTCCTGAAACGTAAAGTCATATAGAAATTTATTTATAGTTACTTTTAACTTAAGGTGGATTATTAAATACACGAATGGTAAAATATAATTTGTAATATTTATATCATTTAACATTTTGAATACTTTGGTGATTAGAAAAAATTGGCATGTGTGTGTATGTATATTTGCATACAATTTTCTTTCTATTTCAAAGGATTAACGAATTTGTATGGTTAAAAAATGGATTTTCAGAGATTTTTGGGTTTTAACCCTTTCCGGATACCGCCGGCAAATTACATATTATTCTCGCAATTACCGAGTGGAAAGGGTTAAAATATATTTCTGTGCTATTTTTAAGTACTCTCAAGCAATCTAATTTATTTTAATTATGTATTTGTTTTGGGCATTTTATTCCAAAATATTTGCAATATTCCTCTAGTTCAGGAGGCGTCCATTAATCACGTGATCGATTTTTTAAGGATTTTTGCCCTTCCTCTCGCCTTTATTGATTCTGGGTGATATTCAAAATTAACCCCTTCCCCTCACCAAACATGGCGTGTATTTTAAGTTACGAGAAAAAATAAAATCTAGTAAATTTTTTTAACATTTTTTTCAAATTGTTTGGATTTTTTTAAACTCAGATAAAAAATAAATACACATTATATTTTACTATACCCCTCTCCACCACATGATATTTTGGGATTTTTTGCAAAACCCTCCCTTCCCGCAGAAACCTCTTAACACTTTGTTAGAGACCGAAATCGAATCAACTAAAATCATTTGTATCCTTTTATGGTAAAAGGGCTTTAATACAGTACCATCGTCGTTAGGCATGTAATTTTCCTTTCTGGTGCCAATGTACCAGTTCACCAAAAACATTAAATAAAAAAATGCTTATCTATTTTATTTTAATTCTTATCTCAAAGTAATCACGGGTGCACCTGACGAGCTGTTTTGATTTGTGACAACACCTAATGCTACTTGTATCACGTACATAGATAACAAGCAACCGTATGCGAATAATGTTAATGTTAATGTTGAAATTAACTAAAGTGATTCTGCCATGACGTACATATTAGGTTTATTGATAAAACCAGAACAGATAAGATGGCATTAATCTATTTAATTTTTGCTGCCGTCGACGTCTCGAAGATTGATTGACTTTTGAACCTGGACGATATAGATAGTTGGATGCGAATCCAAGGAGATAGGCGCTGGAGATATTTTTTGGTTTATGTAACGTGTTTACTGGATTTTTTTGAAATCTAATTACTTTTATTTTATACATTTTTTTAACTTCTCGTATAGTAAGTTATAGTAATCGCAAAAAAATCTAAAATGAAAGTTTTTGCATATCTTTACGTTTCAAAGGTTTCTGAACTTTTTGGAATACCTTAGAAAAAATGGATGTGTGTGTGTATGTATGCATGTGTGTGTATGAGGATACAAATTTTCGTCAACGATTTTAGGAACGCAGGTCAACCAATTTGAATAATTCAAAAAGCATTCGATTCGTATTGATAAGGAGACGTGCTGATTAGTTTTTGGCCAAGGCAGGTCTAACCGTTTCAGAGATACGGGGCAAAAAGTACCAAATATGGTAACACAGTTTTTGAGAGAACGGAACGTCCGATTTGAATAATTCAAAATACATTTTATTTGTATTGACGTAATGAAGGACTGATGAAATTGTTGGAAAGGCAGGCCTTGCGGTTTCGGAGTACCAATAAAAAAAGTAAAAAAAATGCCATTTGGAGGTCAAAAATGATCATTAAACTTCTATATTTTATTTCTACGCAGCTAACGTATTGCGATTCCTTTGAAAAAAAGTTCAAAATTTCCAAAATATTTTGAAGTATAAAAAAATCAAATTTTTCAAAAAGGTCAATAATTTAAAATATAATGTTTTTTAAAATGTAAAGTTTTCAATAATTTTAAAAATCTCAAAAATCGATTTTTTTCAGAGTTCTAAAAGAAAATTAAAAGTTTTAATTTTTGATATGGTAAGTTGCACCACTAGTTCATTTTTTGATTGAATATATAATCGATCTGAACCTTGAAAATCAATCTCTATTATCAGACGTTTACGAGAATTACTTCAGTAACAAATTTTAGTAGGTTTGGTTGGTTTTCTATTTCCTCGAATTACTTTTTGTACTTTTTTTTGATGACATCTTTCGACATGTTCAAATCTTTGGGATTTCTCATAAATTAATAGCTAAAACTATGGACTTTGAATCAGAGATTCCAGTTTTGATACCAGTTTTCGACAGCCTGATTTCAACAATAGTAACATTGGTTTCAATTTGGAAATATGGTTAGCAATATGTATCCAAGACAATATAGCCCTTCCATAGCATTCCTGTATCCGACAAAAAATTCATCAGAAAAATCTAATAATAAAAATTCTGCCATAGAGATAAAACAATTGATTGGGTTGCTATCTATTATAAACTGATACGTCGTTCAATAAGATGCATTAGATGTATAAGATGTACAATTCACATTTTTTAAATATAACAATCAACCAATATACAAAATACAATGAAGGAATGCTTAAATAATTTTGTGTCTTGATTTTATGAAGCATAATATTTAAAGCATCTTTAAAAGATGAGGTCTTGCGTATCCCTTGATTCGCAGAAAATTTTAAAAAGTTAAAAAGCTTTTTTTAAAAAAATAGAGCAGTATCAGAGACGAAGAAAAATATTTCAAAGCAAAGTCACCCCAACAGCTTATAATACTTCTTCAGTTCGATGGATATAAAAAAATGTTTTCCATAGTCAATTGCTCATTGGAGCAATTACAATTTGTTTATTTATTTATTTATTTATTTTATTATTTTTCTTTATTTGCAATTCATTTTATTTGTTTATTATTATTTTTTTTCATTTTATTTCATTATTATTTTATTATTATTAAATTTTATTTTATTTATTATTAATAATATTATTATGTGTAAGCCATATAACTCATAGGATCTATAAACAACTCTGATTGTTATATAATATGAAAAAATAGTTCGATGGATGTGAAAAATAAGTATACCAAAAAATCTGTTAGTAAATACCTCTAAATTTGTCATGCGATTGAAATAGTTAATTTTCAAGTCTCCAATTAGATTCCTCCAACATTGAACCTTTATTTTTCATTATACAATTTCATCATGTGATCCAAAACAAACTTGACAAATCACAATTCCAAACTTTGCGTGCTGAAGACATTGCTTTTGGTTTATTATTACAACTATCATTATCGTCATATGACATTTTCATTTTCATTCATGATGTCATCTTCTTTTTAGCACTACCAGGAACTTTAATGACAATGGAGGAGTGAATTGTGCCTGACTCAGACAATTAGCATAATATTACAAGTCACACACTTCGATAGCTAATTTACAGTTATATCTTCGTTTTATTAGTAAAAAATTATCAGATTAAATGGATTTATTATTATTAATTATTAATTTTTATATCTATTGATTATTTTGACGTTAGTATGGTATATTCAAGGATGCTTTTTTAAAGCAAAGGGCAAAAGATGTGTAACTAGCCATTGCTTTAACGAGAGAGGTTGTCACACACTGTCAATTTTAACAAGAATATTTTTGGTTGTTGTGAGTTTTTCTGGGTTTTGAGTTCTGTTGTTTAGTTAGCTATACCTAAAAGCAGCGGTTTCCAACACGTATAGGCGCATACAGCACTTTCCAAAATACTATTTTTGAAAATTAACCAAAAATTTTGAATAAATATATAAAAGAATAAACGAAAAATAATTATTTGAGTATTAATGGAATAAAAACAGTTGAGTATTTATCGAATAAAATTGTTGGAAAAATTAAAGGGAACGGGGGGGGGGGGGAGGCGCGTTGCAAAAAAGTTTGGAAACCACTGCCTTAACCACTTTTTATGTATACGTTAATTAATTGTTTTATAAGGTATATTGTTATTTTCAAGTTAGATTCGACAGTTTTTTTATATAGTCTTTGTGTCTACTTATATGTGGGATAAAAAGGACCAACTGATCTTTTACATTGAAAATGTGTCTACGCCTAAAATAGTACATAAAAACGTAGAATCATATATAAAAGCAATTGGACAAAAGATAAATTAAAAAAATAGTTTTTTTTATCATAACATCTTATTATTGTTTTAAAATTTCTCAGTAAGACTAATCTTGAAATGTTGCAATGTTTCGGAAGCGCCGAGCGGTGCTATAAAATAATCGAGTGCCGAACACATTGCAACATTGGAAAAAGTGTTGCAATTATTGACATCGACTTGTTATATAACATAATAATATTCTAAGTGTGAAATATTGTTGCAAAATACCAAGATGATGAATATTGTTTAAAACCTACCGTATTTCTTTGTTCACAGTGAGCCGTACAGCCCCAAGCCGGTTTTGGGAGCAGCTTTGGCCGTAGTAAAAGGGCGCTCCGCCCCAATGGACCTGGTACGAGTTGAAACCACAAACAAGGTAATATTTACATGGATAAATAATATATATATATATATATATATATATATATATATATTATGCCATGCGCCACCAGTTATCAATCTTTTACTTGAAGAAAAAAACAAACCAAATGTTTTTTTCCTAATTTTTAAAGATTCATCAATATAAAAACTTCCGTTACTGATTTCATACAAAAAACTATAATAAAGTACGTGCTCTTTAGTAAAAATCCAGTTCCAATGTTTATTACATATTGATCAATATTCATAGATTATTTATATCACATAATTTATGTAAATTAAATTATCATATGTGAAGCAAAATATTTACGGTAGTTTTATTTCAAAGACACTAAGATCAATAATAAATAAAAACAAGATGTTTATAGATCACAAGGAAGTGAAATTCGATTGCAAAAGCAGTAGGTCGGGCCGCTTTTGTTTATTATTGTCTTGTCGAAATAGCACATCGGCAGGTGAAAATTCCAATTTAATTATTAGTGTTATATAATGTTGTTAATGATTGTTCTTAATGAAGTGCCGCCGGAGATAAATCACTTCTTGAAGACAATGGTAGATAAAATTTATTCTCTTCGAAGACAACCTCTGAATCACTTGAAACCAAAATTAGAATCAATTTCATCAAAATGGTTTTCAATATTTTTTGTACGAAACCCACAACATTCAATTGCATACATAATTTTTACTAACATGATCTTGAACTCAAAATGACCGCAAAATTCCTTTCCCATATTTGCCTTAAAACCGAAAGCACAATCCACCAATCCAAAAGTATTCACGAATACGCTTTTGTAATCGACTCAAACTCAATAATGAGTCCTCAAACATAACGAATATGTGTTAATTGCTTAAGACTACATTTCATGTAAAAATAACTAAATACCAAACAAAACACAAAATGCATCGTTTGATGCCAAATTTTGAATACTACGCGTTTTTCAAATACGACGGGTTCAAGGTTTCGGAATATTTAGGGAAAAAATCTAGGACGCAGAATCGATATCAATGATGAATTGATTTTGATGTTTAATTAGTGATAATTAGTAGAGTAATTAGAGTAATTGAGTATGGGAACAATGAAAGAGTAGCAAAGAATGTGTGGTTTGATGTCGCTTGTTCTATTATTATTAAATTAAACGGAGAGTTTTTTAGAATTATCATACCAGGTAGAACTGGTACAATTATTTATATATATATATTTATATATATATATATATATACAGGGCCGGTCTTGCCTTTTTAAATAAATAATTTTAAATTTGCAATTCCTATAAATATTAGACAATGCCCTTCATTTTAAATCCGAATGATTAATTTTTGTTTATTTACTTTCCATGTAAAACATATATGAACGTCGTCATCCAATTTGTAAGCTTTTATATTTTTTCTATATAATAAGAATAATGGAAATTACAGTGTTTATAATAATCTATTTGAAAACACTAAACTAGTGGGGTGTATGGCATCGTGCCTTAAGGCAAATTGCTGAAACTTTCCGTACCGTAACGAAATGTTCGAGGAATACTGAATGTTTTCAAATAGATTGTTATTAATATTGTAACATTGTTTAATATTTATAAGAATTATATAAACTGAATTGCAAAGTTGAAATTATTTGTTTGAAGTATATTAGAACTTTAGTCAGAATTAAGAATAAAATCTGAATTATTTTCGATATACAAAAAAATTTTTTTTTGCAAAAAAAAGTTGAAACAATAATTTTTTTTCCAATATCAATTATTTTGTTAAGATAAGCAGAAAGTTCTTTGAATCATTCAAATCGGACGCTTAGTTCTCTCAAAAACTGCCATTTTTTATATATTTAGCTCCGTATCTTTGAAATGGCTGGGCCTGCCTTTTCCAAAAACTAATAAGCACTTCTCCCAGTCATTACTAATTGAATGTTTTTTTAGATCATTCAAATCGGATACTCCGTTCTCTCAAAAACTCGATTTCTATTTTCTGCACTCTTTGCTCCGTATCTCCGAAACGGCTGGACTTGCCTTTGCCAAAAACTAATCAGCTCTTCTCCCTATCAATAGGAATCGAATGTTTTTTGAACCATTCAAATCGGTTGATCCGTGCGCCGGAAAACATGACTGGAAATTCGTATCCATACATACATACATACACACACACGCACACACACACACATCCATTTTTTCTGAGGTATGCCAAAATGTTCAGAAACCTTCAAAAGGTCGAGAAATGTAAAAAATTTCAATTTCGATTTTCTGCCCATTACAATAACTACAATACGGGAAGTTCATAATACTCGAAAATTACGTTACGGTACGGGAAGTACCAGCAACTGGCCTTAAGGCATGATGCCATAAACCACAAGTTCAGCTTTATTTTTAACCATTCTCAAATCCTTTTTTGATTATATCCCGCTTGATATCGAGCTGACCAAGGCCTAAATTCATATAAACATTACACCTCGACGGGCTTCATATCTCACAAAAATCTAGTCGATGTACGAGAACCTGATCTCTACCTCGAATCCTTTCCGCTCCTGCCTTACGTAATACCATAATCTTACAAAGGTACTTGTCATCTCTCTAAATTGCTAATTGAAGTGAATATTCAAATTTATTCCATAGTCGTTAGCTAGCTGGTTAGCTGGTTAGCTGAGTAGTCATTTTGTAGATATGTTCGAGTCAGAGCCAATAATGGTGTTCTAGTACAGGATGGTGTAATTAACACGGTGCACGCGAATCCTTCCTGGCAGACAACTGGTCAGCAATTGGGATTTATTATGGCATGATCATGACATTACATCATCATCATGATCGGAATGACTTGTGGGCAATGTAATTGTAAATATTATGGAACATAGTGTATTATATTTAATACAATATAATATAATAGTGTATTATATTTAATACACTATGTGGGTTCGGTTATTAGTACTGACTACTAATCCCAGGTCAGGGGTCTTAAGTTACAGATGTTATGGGCTAAGGATGACCTCTAATAACGAACAAGACTGCGATAAATAAATTTGCCTAGTAAGATAATATAAATGTAGTTTTTTTAGAATCATGCACATTTTTTATTTATCTATTTTCTATTACCAAAATATTATTCAAACATTTTTTTCCTAATTTCCAGATAATGTATTCCTTCCTATCAGTTGGATGGGGTCTTCTCGCCGATATCGACATCGAAAGCGAGAGATTAAGGGCCATCGGAGCCCAAAGATTCACAATTTGGAGTCTTCTAAGATTGGCCACTCTAAGGACGTACAAAGGCACCGTTTCGTATTTGCCTGTCTCCAAAGAACTTTTGGAAAAGAGAGGACTGATGACCGAGTCAGACAGGTGAGATGAAACATTCTCTTTTTTTGCACCAGAAATAATGATGCATACAAAATGTAGCATTAAAACAATGATGTGTAAAAATGTATAGTACAGATGCGATAATTAGCTAAATTGCTTCATGAACAACTATTTAGACTAATTAATAAATTTAGAAAATGCTACTATCACTTTTGAGGTGTCTCAAAGACAATGGTAAAACATTTCTAGTGAAAGATATTCACTATCATGAGAGACGAGAAGTGCTGTGTATTGTTTTCTAAGGCCGGTATCACTTTATTATAAAATACTAATGTTTTCAGTATTTGTAACTAATTTTAATTATTCAATTAATAGTGAAATTAATTAATATTTTTGTTTTGCTTTTCTAGTGAAAGCAAGAGATACATTAACTCAAACAGGACCAATAATTTAACGCACAGCATATCCCAGAATCTAAAAATTGATGATTCTGATGATAATTTGCAGTCGCACAACGATTGGTCATTTTTGGATTTGAATTCCTCCGCAGGTAAATTTATTATAGCATCAACTGAAATTTCTCATAGTAGTCAATTTGACCTTAAGCGGATATTCTAGTGTAGAATTTCAAAAAAATCGAATTTTTTTTGTTTCATATTTTCAAAGTTATCTAAGAATATGGGCACGAGAAGATTTTTGAAAATTTGAATTATTTTCGGAGATATAGGCATTTTACTGACCCGGTCTCCAACCTAGTTGGCAGGGTCTAATCGGACAAAAGGCATTAGGAAGTCATTAGATCAATTTAAGACAGTTTATCGTCAGATGAATTATTAATTCGATGTTTATGTTCAGAAACTCAGAACAATAATGAATCTCTAAACTCGTTGATTTGGATTTTCGCGCCGAAACATATTCATTCCCGATCTCGGGTATTTGAAAAGCAACATTTATTGCTGTTTGCATATTCAATGGAGGTTTCTTTCCGATTTTAAAAATGATGACTTTTATGGTAATGTAAATTGGGCCAAAAACTCAATTCATTGGCGCAAGACGAGACAACGCCCGGATTGAACGATCTGATATAGATACATCTATTCTAAAGCTTGAATGGAGGCTAGAACTGCTCGATTTGAAGAGAAAAATGCAGACAACAGTTTTTTTGAAGTAGAAGAAGGTCCGATGCATGAAGCAGGAATCACAGATTAAATAAAAGAAGTATAACATATCATTTTATGACTTTGACAGCAAAAAACTTTAAATGCGTTTTTCTCAGAAGAGACTTTTTCAGTACTGTTGACACGATTTCTCGAGTTCTACTCGACCGATTCACTTGAAATGTTCAGAGAAACTTGTTTATAGACCTATCTATAGCCCGAACTAGGATTATCTCCAAAGTCCAATTTTTACTATTTTTAAAAATTTGAGAAACTTAAAAACCAGTAAAAAAGACACTTTTTTTCAAACAGTCGCCAATTTGTAAAAAAAAAAAATTTTACACATCGCTAGTTCGGGCGATTGCGACATCATTGCAGATTAATAATCTTTTCATTTCTTTTATTTCGGATGGCTAGAAGGGCTGAAATCATGTCAAGACTGAGGTGCCAATTTTTTGAGACCCCCCTCTTTATCAGCTGCTAGTTTTTTAAATTTTCAACTTTTATATTTTTAATTCTTGTTTTGTATTTTAATGATCTTAATAAACAAGTGGTAAAAAATGGATAGTAAAAACATTCATTGCTTTCTTTTACGACACTTTAAAAATGACCTAAAATTTATCGCTCTACACTAGAATACCCCCTCAACACAAATGTTGTTTGTTTTATCCAAACTAGTTTTATCCAGAAGCAACCGATAAAATAAAACACTAAATTTATTTAATTTTCTAATTAGGTGCATGTGCAGCTTGTGGGGGTTCTTCAGCAGGCACCTGTGATTTGTGTGATTCAGGATTTGGAGATGCAATTAGTCTAGAAACTGAATCGCCGCCTCCAAAGGGCAGTGTTCAGCAGCAGCAAAGGAGCAGCGAAACTGGCAGCTACATGGAAGGCAGGCAAAGGCTGGATTCGTGGTATTCCACTACCAGCAGGAGGAGTACTTACTACTCGGCAGCGGGTAAGGATTAAAAGACAATTTCAATTTCCTATTTTTTTTCCTAATGCTGTCAATTGTTTGAAACTTCTCTTTAGTACCAGTATATTGTTGATTAACAATTTGTTCCATTTTATTAACTTCCTGTAGGGTAGTTATAGTAATGGGCCGAAAATCGAAAATGAAAATTTTTGCATTTCTCGACGTTTTGAAGGTTTCTGAACATTTTGGCATACCTCAGAAGAAATGGATGTGTGTGTGTGTTTTGTGTGTCTGCATTTTTTCGTCAACCGATTTGAATGATTTAAAAAACATTCGATCCCTATTGATAGGGAAATGTGCTGATTAGTTTTTGGCAAAGGCAGGTCCAGCCGTTACGAACATACGGAGCAAAGAGTGCAGAAAATACAAATCGAGTTTTTGAGAGAACGGAGTATCGGATTTGAATGATCTAAAAAACATTCAATTTGTAATGATTGGGAGAAGAGGTGATTAGTTTTTGGCAAAGACAGGTCCCGCCATTTCGAAGATACAGAGCTAAATGTGCAAAAAATGGCAGTTTTTGAGTGAACTAAGCGTCCGATTTGAATGATCTAAAAAACTTTCTGCTTGTATTGACAAAACAATTGCTTTTGAGGATAAAAAATTATTACATCTTTTTTTATTTTCCATAAAATATTTTTGTAATTTTGGATTAAAAATTTAAAAAATTACCCAGGCTAAGCACAGTCTAAGCGCCACTCTGGTACAAATGTTTACTCAAGTGCGTTTAGACTGTTTATGTATTGGAGCACTTTTCCAATTTTGTGAAAACTATTGGAAAATGTGAAAATGCCGCCAAGCTAAGCGCAGTATAAGTGAAAATGTCGCACAGAATTATTTGCAAATGCGGTTAGACCGTGACTATACGGGAACACTTTTTCAATTTTTTTAGGCAACTATTTGTGTGAAATTGAATTCGAAATGAAATGACGATTGTTAATGTTGTGGAGATAAATTGATTTATGATTTACATTTGATTTGCTCAGATATAACAAGATAGCAAAAATAATGAAAGTTACAGTACATATAATAAACCTATTTGAAAGCATTTAATATTCCTCGAATATATTATTACGGGTGTACGGGAAGTTCCAGCAATTTGCCTTAAGGCACGATGGCATACACCACTAGTTATATTTTATTTTGTTGATTTTTCCGCAGGGGTTTCTTCTTACCACAGTGTGGATGGTGATACTCTTTGTGGTGACAATAGCACCATAGGCGGAAGTGAAGGATCTGTCATGATGCACGGACCTGCATCCAGGATACCAGCACTTACAGCAAAAGTACCAGACGAGTGGGTTACCTTGAAAGGAGAATTTGTAATGGTCCATGCTAACTACCAAACATTCATCGGTAAATCCTCAAATCACAATTGAATCCATTTTATCCTGGCACAATTTTAATTCTCATCATTATTTTACCCAGGTGCTGATTGCTGTATAGCCCCCAAGTCCACCCTGGACGACGGCATAATTTGGCTAATAATCATCAAAGGTGGAGTCTCACGCCAAAGACTCCTGGCATTCCTTCTAGGTTTGAGTTCAGGAACCCACGTCGATGGGAAGAACTTCACAAACCTGAACGAATCAGGAAATGCCCAGGATCCTTACGTCAGCATGACGGCTGTGTCGGCTTTCAGAATCACCCCTGACGATGTGTCCAGGGGACATGTTACCGTAGACGGTGAGAGTGTGCCTTGTGGTCCTGTTCAAGGTGAAGTGTTTCCAGGTTTGGTGAGGATTGTTGTTCCTTGATGAGGTTTGGATGGACTCGAAGAGTCCTTAGAGTAATTAAGTAAAAACAAAGGTGAAAGACAGGTGTATACATAATTGGTTTAAGGATTTGGTAACTCGTGCAGTGCTTTAGTTGACTGGTAGAGGTATCAGTAGGAATTATTTCACCTAATGCTAAAGATTTTCAATTACGTTTTTTTTTGTTATTATAGTTGATCTATAATATAACATAAGTATAATTTATTATACTTGTTGGATTTGTTAGATTGTAGTTGATATTTATTTTCCTTGCATGAGTTATCACATCCAACAATTTTGTCTATCGTTCAATATTAGGATTATAATATTCTTATATAATCAATGGAATGACTTCAACAGTCAATTTATATCAATCAGCTTTATTCATAGCTAGGATATTGTTATTAAATTTAAACCAGAAGTGGAAATATCCAGCGTTAGTTAAAATATATTAACAATTCATGGGGCAATAATATAGCTCATAAAATAGCGTTGTCATGACAACGCTATCTTATGCTTGTTCTTGGTATTAAAAATCATGAAAATGTTTATCTATTTGCTGTGCGATCAGGCTTATTTTACATATAAACAAAGCAAGGGAGAATACAAGGAATATATATATTTTATATAGATAATACAATATTGTATGAATGATATAAAGCAAACCATTATATTATTTTAAATAAATTTTTATATATAATTAATTACTTCAAATAATAATAAAAATACAGACAACATCACATTCTGCTCATCTAAAACTAGCAGTACTATAAAAAGGTTTTAAAACTTTTAAAACGATAAAAAAAATCAATAAATAAAATTCTTTTATTATGATATGCAAATTTTTCGTCGACTATTTGTTTAGTTTGTCAATCTATGTTGACCAGAATGAATGTTACGATAACTGCATCATCTAAAATTCTTTTATCATAACATTCTTCCTTGTTTGTTTATATGTAAAATACTCATTTTCATAATTTTCATTACCAAGAACAAGCATAAGAGAGCATTACCATGACTACGCTATTTTATGAGCTCTGTTATGGCAGACTTGCCCCATTAATTTATTTATAAAATATTATTGTAAATCGGAAATCTGGTTTTAAAATGGAATTGTATATAGACAAGGTATTTTTTCAAAATTATTAATATTGTTAAATATATATAGTAATAATTTAAAACGTACTTAAACGTAATTATAAGGATTTAAATTAATTGTTTAATTAAATTATGGAAGTATCTATTTAAATGTCCGGATTTGATAATAATTTATTAACTTGATCAATACTAATTTTAATAATAAGAATAATTTATTAAGGGGTAACAGCTTGAAAAAACTTTTTTTTTTCATTTTTTAGACAAAGGAGGTATTAAATTCATAATATGAAAATAAGGTATTAAGGGTATTTTTGAGTAACAAAATAAAAAATTATTATATAAAAATCTACAAAAATGACGTCATCACAGCAAATACAAGAAATAAAACACGTCGATGTATGAAATATTTTTCCCTAAAAAATTAAAAATATTTTTTGAGTTTATAGTGCTGTTATCCCTTAATTGAGAACATTAAAATCAGTGATAGTAAATTTATATAATTAATAAGTCCTTTCATTATATGGTGGTTTCCTCCTACTTTCGTATTTGTATCCAATAAGTTAATTCGGTTTGTCTAGTATTTTGCTTCATTTATTAATTTTAACAAATTTTAGATTTTAAATCACATTGTAGGTAATGCAATTTTAATATCAACGTTGTAGCAAAAAAATAATGATACATTTCAAATTTAATATATAGATAAATGGGGCAATTTCCCCAAAAGACATTGAAACTGCCATAATAATATTTCACTTAAAATAGACTTTAGGTGTTATCCGTAACTTGCCAAAAAAATAACTTCTAAGTAATAATGGAAATTTGCTTTCGGTAGCTTTTATGTTTAAGCATCACTAAAATAATATTATTAACAATTCATTTTATATTTAAAAATTTAACACAAGTCAATGCTCAACACGAGGAAATTTTATTTGGTTTGTTTTCGTGTTAGTCGATAAGATAATTATCTTGTTACCTTGTTATTAATTAATAAATTGTTATTAGCCTAATTGTTATAAAATATAGATAAACATTCAATCAGAATTTTAATAGAGTAGGATTTTCTTCAAAATAAAAAAACTATAGACGTATAGTTGTGCCAAGGATGTTAAGTTAATTTTTTGTGGGTCTCTAGCTATTTAGGTATAATGGAATTTTTTTAGGTAGGAAAATTACGGAGTTAAATACAGTTTTTTTCTAAATAAGTATATTTTATTCTAATTAGTTTTTTGTTTTTTGAATGTGCAAACCGCAATTTGAATGCTTTTAAAATCGTGGGGGCTGTGAAATCTAAGACATTAGTGAGAAGTGCATTTTGTTTGAGGTTGTGATTAATTCATTTTAACAAAAATATTTATATCAATAATATATCACACGGAAATTATTTATCAAAACCGGTACCAAGACGTGGTTAAAAATCAGACATTTTAATTAAAATTAAGAATGATTGTGTTAATTAAATTATGATTAATTTAGGTAATTTTATTTATACATAAGTTTGTATATATATGCGTAATCAATAATATATAATGTAATCTTGTATTTACATATGTACTTGAAGCAATTTCTTGTTAACTATTTACACAAATAATAAAACATATCTAATATATGCAACAAATAATAGGCATTTTGTAATTTATCTATTTTTCAGGAAGTTTCAGAAATTTTAGTGTAGAAATTCGAATATTGTTACTTCTTCAGGACACTAGTAAAAAAAATAAAAATAAAAATGCAAGGTAACAAATTATGATACTAATTAATTAATTATTACGATTGATTTTATTTTAATTATATATGTTGATGTTAATTTAGTAGGTTGTCCATGAAAATTATGGTGTCTATGAAGAATTGCGTTATTTGTGCAAGTTCATTAGGATTGGAAAGTTTTTTTTGATTTAGTTGGACCTCTGACCACAAGTGAGTTCAAATTTATTTATATTTAGATTCATTTTTATGAAGTTTAAAAAAACGTTATTGAACAAGGTGTCCCAGAACTCAAGCCGAAACGGGGTGATAGTATTGATGGTAACTATCATGAAAAAAATTATTTCATGTTTTTTTTAAGTTGAATTTGAAGAGCTTTGTGAGCATTATAGACCTTCTATTGACGTTTTATCCAAAACGCCTAAACCGATGTCAAAAATTTAAAAACCTTTCATTTTAACTCGAAAAGTTCTAGTTCATCAGTATTGCGTAACTATCGGCCTAGCTGTTTCTTTGTAATTATTATAATTGGAATAAGTGTTTTTTTTTCACGTTTTAGTCCACAATCTTGAATCTATAAAATTCTAATCAGAATCTATGCCAAGAAAATGTATACAATCTGTTTTTTGCATGTAGCTACTGATTACAGTATACGTTTAACACATTTTTAGAGTACGAAATTTCCTTAATTATAAAAATGAATGAACGACGTATCAATTCGATATCGGACCGATTATTTCTTAGCAAAAACCAAAATTTTATTTTTGAAATAAACAATTGAAAATACTGGTAATTTGGTTTCCAAAATCTTCATTGGCGCGTCGGAGCTTCCGACAAGATAATAAACTGTAGCGCACGCTTCATAGTACTGCCTTACTGTACTTAGTCCTGATATCTCTCCAACTCTTGTTTAATATTTATATCTCCAAAATGTTTTGAATAAAACATTGCATGAAGTTATTTTTGGAGTCTCGAATCCTTTCCAAGGTAGAGACCAATAATATTATTATATAAGAATTTAAACTGAAACTGAATCACAAGACACAGATCAATACAATCTGTTGAAGTGGTGAAATGACGGTACGGGATGGTAATTGGTAAGAAAGATTCTTACTAATATTAAAGGAGCATTTTGGTCTAGGGTCATAAATTCACAGTAAACCACAAAACGTAATTAAAACGTTAATATAACGTAACAGATGTTACGTCAAACATAGCGGTTACGTAACGTAGGAGGCACACAGACGTTTCTATTTCCGCCTCAAAAACTGAATTTGTTACGCTTCCAAATTGCGCAAAAACGTAACGGTTTCGTTATTGTTACGTTTTCAAATCACAAAATAAACGTGTAGGTGTCTAACTTAAAAATTTAATAAAATTTGCTGTAAATATAAAAACCATTTTTTACATAAAAATAGCGAATCGGAATTTTTGATGAAAACATTAACTTATCCTTCAGGAAGTTAATAAAAGTTTCACATTAGAATGGCACTTGTAATGACTAATAATGCGTTCCAGTAACATTTATATGTATCATGCATTGTAGCGGGCAAACCATATACATTTATAATTTGTGTTACTAATAGCTAACACTTTCACTATACCACATACTTCTAATCTACATTCATAATCAATTAATTATTTTTTATCTGCAATAATTTTTTATGGCTATACAACGTTTGCTGGGCCAGCCAGTATATATATATATATATATATATATATACACATCAATGAGACAAAAACAAATGTGACTTATATTTATATATGCTTTTATTGAGTAGTTAAATAGTATAATCAATTTATAAATATATTTAAGTCTTAATATATTCATAGTTTTTCATTTGTTTTTTTTTGTTTGTTTGAAATTAATTGAGCACTTTTTTCTCGTTTGTTTACAACAAAAATACAAATATTATAAAACTATTGCTTGTATATTAAATTATCTGTATTGAAATGAGAGCCAGTTTGCAGTATTAATTGACAATATTGATTGTAACTATCATGAAAAAGATCAGAAAAAATTCTATCTAGCTTTCATGACAATTTTTCGGTTATCGTGCTTGATTTGTATTATTTTTGTTCATTTAAACTTAGGAACTGTAACCTTATATAACATTTTTAGAACTAAAGTCCAAAATAATGGTACAATTGGCCCAAGTCTTCTAGAGTAAAAACTATTTGTTAAACTATGAATTCAAAAATTTTAAAATTCAATGTACAAAAAATGCAACAACGCACAAGCACAAAGCTGTTTGCTCCATACAGGGCAATAAAAAATATTAACCCAAAATATTAGGTATAATTTTCAGTACAAGTTTAAGCGTCAATAAGAAAGGACATAAGAAAGTACCCGCGTAACTCGCAAAACCAGTTAAATAAATAAATAAAATAAACAATAATAAATTAAATAAATAAGTTAAGTTATGCACATGTAAATCATAAGGGAATAAATTAGTGAAACAAATAAGTCAACAAGAGTTTCATTATAAACCCAATTTTACATTTTTGGGAAATGTCCCATGTACTAAGTGCCTTGGCAAGTGATATTAAAAGTTCGCGTGTTTAATCAGGATTGTAAAATGGTACAAAACTTGTTAGTTTCATATTAAAAACACGACTTAAAAAATGAAAATATCATAAAATCAAATGTTTGACCCCAACAGAGACAACACTATCTGTCTCGCTCGCTCATGGTAAACATGTACTCTGTCCATCTCTCTCATAATTTGCAAACCAACTTTCTAAGTTTCTTTAAAGTCCATAATATTCAAAGTGGTTGTGAAGGATTTTTTTCTGATTTTTCTCATGGCAGTTATAATCAATCTGTAATCTCATTATATGCCAAGATATTACTTATGGGGCAATTCTGCCGTAACAGAACTCATAAAATAGCGTTGTCATAGCAACGCTTTTTTTTTGCTTGTTCTTGGTAGTAAAAATTATGAAAATGTTTATCTATTTGCCGTGTGCACAGGTGTATTTTACATATGAACAAGCAAGGAATAATCATATGATAACAGAATTTTAAATGGTGCAGTTATCATAACATTCTCTATTGCTTGTTTATATGTAAAATAATAGGCAAATAAATAGACATTTTCATAATTTTCAATACCATGAACAAGCATAAGAATGCGTTGCCATGACAACGCCATTTCATGAGCTCTGCTACGGCATAATTGCCCCATTAATAACACATTTTTAATATCTTGAAAGAATGTCTATCACTGACTCTTGAATAAAACTGTCCCCATGGATCAGTAACTTCAGTAAAAATGTTCACCTTAAATATATATCTTTATATCTATTGCATGATTATAAATAATCAACATTTACAAACTAACATTTTAACTTACTTCTTTATCTCTAAGATTTGCAAGTCGTCCAACAATTTCGAAACCTCTCCATCAATATCATTAATTTCTGAAGTTTTCAACTTATTAAGTTTATCACTCAAATCGTCCAATTCGACTCGAGCGTCCTTCTGCTTCTGCAGAAATGTCAACAACATACTGACCACCTGTTGCACTTGATCTTTCAATTTCTGCATTTCAGGAGGCTCGATCCTCTTCTTGTTCATTTCTATGATCAGCCTCAGCTTGCTCTGAGCCAACTGTAAAGGATTTCTACCGCAGTTGTCTAGGGATGAGACATCAGCTCCCCCGTCTAGGAGGAGGGTGATGATTTCTATGTTGTTGGTGCAGGCTGCTAAGTGTAGGGGAGTGTTTCCTAAGTCGTCTTTGATGTTGGCGTCTGCTCCGTGTTCGATGAGCAGCTTCACCATCTGTGTGTAGCCTTTGCAGGAGGCCAAATGTAAAGGACTTCTGCGTTGGCTGTCGCTGCTGTTGGCGCTGACTCCTGTTTGGAGCAAGCGACGGACCTGGGGGAAAAGACTTCAGGTCTAGAAATATTCTTTCATCTTACTTACCTATAAAATTTTTTTTATCTTTTTCAAAAAATTTAATTTTTGGTACGGGAAGTTCAGCAATTCGCCTTAAGGCCATGCACAACTTGTTATATTAAAGAGGAAACAAAATCTATTTTTAACATCAAACAGAAGTTCAAGTGATTATTCATTTATGAAATTTATTGTATCGATAGTGATGGGCTATAAATATTATTGAGAGTTATGAAAAAAAAAATTACCAAATCAAGGTTGTTCAGCGATACAGCGTTTCTTAGTCTTCTTGCTCTCAAAGTCTTAGAATCGTACACACAAGTATGCCTTCTTTGTCTACGGTCTAGAATGATTGGACCACGAAAGCATCTGCAAAAATAAAAATAATATATATATATACTGGATGACCCGACAGTCGTTGTTTTGTACCCACGTCTACAATTCAAAAGTTCCAAATTTTTTAACATTCTATCCTATACTTTTTAATACCCTATTTGATGTCCTGTCTTTGTGATTCATTTATGGTCTTTGCATAGGCAGTATAAGAAATTCAGAAAAAAATAATATAGTATTTGCGGTAAAAGAACAATATCACACTTTATTTTACCACACAACACAATTGCTTCAATTATTTAGTCTATAATTTTCATAATCTCGTACGATATATTAGTTGCTTTTTGGCAATTATAAGATCTAAAGTACATTTTCTTTACTAATAACTTAATAAACATTATTGTTTGTGTTCAAATTTTAGATGAATTAATTTGTAAAATTTAGTTCATATAAGCACTTCTCAATCTAAGATCAATTTGCTAAATATTCCATATCTAATGCCAAACAAATGAATTTTTGACACAAGAAACAATGCAATATGCAATTTTGGACTTGTTGCATTATTTATTAAACTGAATGATGTAATTTCATCTGCCGAACATATACTGTTGACTGTATCTTACACAATTTTAATTTCTGGCACATCTCACCTGCTTTTCGGCAATAATAATGTAGACATTACATTTTTTTTTATATATCATATTCTAATATTATCTAGACTCATAACATCAGCTACATTCAAATTTGAAGTAAATTGAAATTTCTATCAAATGACAGCTCAAATGTTTTCAATGTCAAATAATGATAAGCGTTTTTTTGTTATTTTTGCCATTTATTTCTACAATATCACTATATTTTTATAATCACATACATCCTAAAAAATTTCCTTAACAAACTTCAGAAAGATTTACCAAAATCCGAATAATCGTTTAGGAGGAGTATATTTACATACATTAAATTTTATATATAAGATATAATATATATATATATATATATATATATATAAAAATTATAATATTAATAATTTACCTCGCCGGTTGATCTTCTTTCGGCACTGCCTCATTGCATAATTTTGACAATGGATCAACCATTGGCAAACAAGTTTGAAAGTCATTCGGAACCCACAATTCAAGATATCTTGATGAAACATCTGTCGAGTGCCCTGCACTTGTGCTGCATGCTTCCTCATCCATTATATTATAGAAGATTTATATAAAATTCGAATTTGAAAAGCAGTTTTTGCTTGGGAATGTTTTTATGTAACTCCTGTAATGAAATGAAAAATTAATATAAAGACAATATGATATTCTGCCAAAGAACTTGTGTGTAATGTAATATGAGACAGATATGTTATAAGATTTGAATGAAACGTGGATTTTATTATGAAATTTGGACTCGAGCTATAAGATAAACAAAATTGGAAGTTGCATTGTGATATTTGAATTAACTTTGTTATTACAATGTAATCCAAGTAAGACAATGGAAATGATGGATTCGTTTAAGAATACAAGAATATGTTGAAATTAAAATTGGCTAGTGAATTGGTGTATGAAAAATCATTTAAAAGACAATTTTTAAAGTAATCTTTGATGTCTGTATTCAAATGAACGATAGTAATAGTAATCGTCCAAAAATAAAAAATTAAAATTTGTTATAAATTAATATCCAAAAGACAAGTTTTAAAGTGATCTTTGCCTAAGTTTAGATGAACAATTATATAAGTAGTAACGGTAGTAGGTAGTAATGTAGTAATTGAATATGATTCTTATTAGATTCTACCTTTAGCAATAAAGAAATAAAATTTTAAGCTTTGTAGTGTAATAAATAAGTACAGTACTTTATTATTTCGTGTGAGCGAAGCACAAAAATGTGAAAGACTTTTTTGTTTTAATATGCTTACAAATTATTATTTGTTTTCAGAATCAATGTCTCTTGACTTTGAAAGTGAAATTATTGAAAAATTCAAGGATGTGGAGAATGTAACACATCACAGATATGTGTTGTGTTAGAACAGAAGGATTTGATAAATTGTATGACTTCAACTAAGGGCCTTTGAATAATTATAAGCAGATTTCTGAGCTCTAACAGATTGGCACGACCAAAAAGTTGCAACAGTTTGAGCATGGAAGTTGTTAAACAAAACATGTCCAACTCATTTCATTCTTTTAAGAGTACAAGAAAATATATGAACCTAGATGGTGAAAAACTTTTATAATGTAAAATTCATAAAACAATTTAGAAAATGATATTCAAATGGAAAATTATGTAAGTAGCAAAAATTTAATAGCTCACCTGTGTTACAATTTCCACAACATTTTTACATTCAACAGAAACAAGTTGAATGAGTCATACTGTAATATTGTGCATACAATTTTCATACGTAAAATGATCAATAATTTAATATTTTACAGCTTTGTCAAGATTCTTTTTACACCCATAATATATTTATCCTTCAAATAAGTTGTGATATTATTTTCACTCATAAATCATTTTATATGAACTAAAAGTATTTGTATACGATTGAACAAAATATTGTTCTCAAATGCAACACCTGTACTTGTAATATTAATTCGCGAACTTTTAGTAATTAAGATTGTTTTCCAATGTCAAATTAGGAATGTGTAAACATGCCAAAGTTTCGTCATACAAAAACATTGATGCTTTGTCTCTTTCTATCGCACAGACTTTTGTATATTGCTCTCCTTGTTGTTGAAATGTCATGTTCGAAATTCAAGCAGTATCTGTTGGAGAACTTTAGAACTAATAATAGCGGATTATTTAAATTAGTAATAGATATTCTCTTTAATTAGCTCTTAGATATTTTTTTTTAATTTAGTTTTATAAAATTAAATGTGCAATATAAATTCAAATTAAAATAGGTGTAAGACGCTTTTTGCCTTGAGGCAAGTTGCATGGACTTCCTGATATATGTAAATAACAGGTAATTGCCGTTTTTGGAGCATATATATGAACTATTTTATATCACCTCAACTTAATGCATAACTTAATTGAGCATAATTATTTTTATTTAATTAAAACGATAGTTAATAATTTTCTTTACACAACTGTCAAAAACTGCCAACAAAAATGGCTGCCACTAAGAGCGCAAAATTTAAACAGAAAATCTGAACATATACAATTCTGAAATATGTTCAGATTATTATTATTATTTATCTGCATTTAATAAAAGTGGTATGTTTTACTTAAATATATAATATTTTATTAATTTTATTGCAGATTATTGTGTATTATAATCTGAACTTATAAGTAAGTAAAAAGTTAACTGTGCAATGTTCACACTGATTTGATTTGCAAATGACATTTCCAAATTTTGTCAAATTTTTAAATAAGTATTCAAGTCAGTGGAATTATTGTACAAGTTAAATTTAAGAAACATAAAAGGTATAAAGGTGCAATGCTTTTTATATGAATGTAAAGGTGTTATTTAAAAAATTATTAAAGTTTGTTGAAAAATCCATATGATATTTGTTCTTAGTTCAATGGTAACTTCGATGACAGTTCCTTGGTTCCTTCGATCTTGTTGTGATTTATTTTAAGTTTTTGCCTTAGAAAGTAATTGTGAATTATTTTAAATTTGAAAAGGTGGTGCACATTTTAATGTAAATTTAGTATTTAACATGACTTTGTTAATACATTAAGAGAAATTGTCGATATAAGGTTTTATTTGACAGACATCGATTTGATTTCAGTAATGGCGGTTCTAAAGTGGTGAAATGCAGTTTTGATTTGAAGGTAAGAACAAAGAACTTATTTTATTTGATACATATATGTATTATTATCAACTGCTATAACAATTATAAAAATCAATTATGATGTCTTAACATAAAGGATTCCAATTTATTACCACAGGATATGTCATGGACATATAACCTGAAATTTGCACGCGGCATTTTCTGTCAAAAACACAAACATTTCCTTCGGCAAGTTAAAAAAAACACTAGTTAATATTCATATATTATAATTTCATATAAAAATACCATCAAATAAAATACATAAGTATATATAAATTTAGTAAATATAATTTTTGTGAAAAATGGCACATAAAATATAATAATTTTAAAATCGTATTGAATCTCATAATATTTTCCTGATAAACTTTTTTGTGTTACTACTCGCTTATAATAAGATAAACTAGTGGGGTGGGTGGCATCGTGCCTTAAGGCAAATTGCTGGAACTTCCCGTACCGTAACGAAATGTTCGAGGAATACTGAATGTTTTCAAATAGATTATTATAAATATTGTAACATTGTCTAATATTTATAAGAATTATATAAACTGAATTGCAAAGTTGAAATTATTTGTTTCAACAAAAAACTAAAAAAAAAGAAAAAAAAAAAAAAAAATCGAACGAAATTTTTTTTTTCCAAAATCAATTATTTTGTTAAGACAAGCAGAAAGTTTTTTGAATCATTCAAATCGGACGCTTAGTTCTCTCAAAAACTGCCACTTTTTACATATTTAGCTCCGTATCTTCGAAATGGCTGGGCCTGCCTTTGCCAAAAACTAATAAACACTTCTCCCAATCATTACTAATTGAATGTTTTTTAGATCATTCAAATCGGATACTCCGTTCTCTCAAAAATTCGATTTCTATTTTCCGCACTCTTTGCTCCGTATCTCCGAAACGGCTGGACCTGCCTTTGCCAAAAACTAATCAGCTCTTTTCCCTATCAATAGGAATCGAATGTTTTTTGAACCATTCAAATCGGTTGATCCGTGCGCCTTAAAACGTGACTGGAAATTTGTATCCACACATACATACACACACACACACACATACACACACACACACACACACACACATCCATTTTTTCTGAGGTATGCCAAAATGTTCAGAAACCTTCAAAACGTCGAGAAATGTAAAAATTTTCAATTCCGATTTTCGGCCCATTACAATAACTTACCCTACGGGAAGTTAATAATAAATTTTTGCCTTCTTGAAATTTTAAGTACTTTAATTGTCTTATGATAAGTGAGTATGTGAGACAAAAAGTTTATCCTAGGCCTATAATATTTGTTAACAATGTACAAAAATTATGGGCTGAAGAATTGACACATTTTATAATATATGTTTTTAATCTATATTAATCTTGAAAATTTGACAAAATACTGTAATAATTTTATCTTACGGCATAATTTTATTTTATTTTTATATTTTAATGTACGTAAGAATTTTAGTAGTTGCTAAATGGCATTTTATATTTTACATATTGCTATTTTCTACAATATCACAGTAATGACTAATAACTTAAATACTAAAATATATTTTCCACTTAATATATATAATATTTAGAAATATCTCTTAACCGAATAAGAAAATTATTATAAAATTTAATCATATTATTCTGTGTTCATTTAAAATTAAATAGGCCTTTAAATATTATTATTTGAATTAATAATGTTTTTGCATCTCTTTTTATTCATTCGTTAGAGGGAGAGCACAATATATAAATCGTATGCAAATTGGTATCAATATGTTGTCTGTCTCTTTTTGACGCTTTGTGTTAGAGGGAGAGCGCGATATGTAACAAATACAATAGGGTGGTCCTTAACATGGACATTTTTGCTCCCAAGGGCTCAAATGTATCAAAATTAATAAAAAATTAATATTAACATTTAGATAGAGCGCACTCCAATCAAAAGTTTTTTCTATTTGTTATTAACATATGTCATTAAGTAAATTCTTGCGCCATCTGTGATAGTATTCCTGGACTCAAACATTATGACACATAAGAATATTTACAAACCACTTAACCTCTAATTAAATCCATGTGGCCTAAACTAAATATTTATTCATCATGGCATTATATAATATTTTTTTCAACATCACCAATTAAATAAATATTATCCTGCAAAATTATTAATATTACCATGATGAATAAATATTATAGAACAGACCACATGGATTTAATTAGATTTATAATGATTTATAAATATTCTTATGTGTCATAATATTTGAGTTCACGAATACTATCACAGATGGCGCAAGAATTTACTTAATGACATATGTTAATAATGAATTACGAAACTTTTAATTGAATTGCGCACTATCTAAATGTTAATAGTAAGAGCTAAAACTATTAGAGATTTATTTTTTATTAATTTGGAAGCATTGGAGCCCTTGGGACCAAAGAAATTCGAAAATGCCCACGTTAAGGACCACCCTAAAATACAAGGTATAAATTTTCCTATAAAATTAAAATTCTTTAAAGTTTTTAAAAATAATACTGAACAAACTGAAAAAATGCCAACTTGCTGACAGTTGGATTATAAAACTATAAAATTGATAATATTAGATGAGCAATATTTTAGAATGTGCCGCAGATGAACGGAGTATTTCGCCGAAAAACAGTAATAACTAGGCGTATACTTGATGCAATAACTTCTATTTATGTCTCTTATCTTTTCAAACATAACTTTCATTTACCGTGACCAAAGAAGTATCATTATTACCATAAGCCGAAATAATCCTGGCGGTTTCTTCACAAACAGCCAAAACTTCTTTCACATTCTTCTGCTGCTGCATTTTCAACAAATCTGCAGCCAACAAAAGATACCTTTGACTTCCCAATTTAAAGCAAAACCTGGCAACTTCTCGATCTCTGCAAAATCTGGTTAAACACAAGGTTGTTGATATCAACATGCGTTCTGCTGATGCCTTTTCAGCTGGTGTGAATTTGGGGGATTCCGGACTTTTGAATGATGATAATTCCAAATTTGTTTTGGAACTGGAATTGGTGAAAAAATTGTCAGGTGTTCTTGGTAGACGTTCGGATTTTGTGCTTGATCTTGATTGGTCTGACTTGGCACGGACACTGTTTTGTAGCAAGGAACTGGAATAGTCCTAGAAAAGATAATTGACAGTTAAAATACTGGTTTAGGAGGATTTTGTATGAATTTCTTTACCATTCTCTCCGATGCTCTCATAACACCACGTCTGAAGGATGCGGATTCTTCAGGTGCTATAAATCTTCTGCATGTGTTAAGGAATGAAAATATAGCCATTATGGGTTCACTTGAATTTGCTGGGTTTTTGGAAGATGGGCAGAGTCTGCGTCTGCATTCTTGGACTGCACTCAAGTTGCAGAGCAAAGAGCTTGTCTGCTCCTGGAATAGAAAATGATTTTTAGAAAAAAAAACTCAACTGTTCGAAAATAGTCGAAACTATTTCAGTTTTCTGGTTACTAACCTGTAAGAATACCGAGCACCCTGGTCCTCGTCGCTTAACGGCTTTAAGCAATTCTGTAGCTGCTTCACACCAGGCTAAACTTTCTGTTACAGCCACGCTGTTAGGTGACATCACTTGGGTATTGTCATTAAAAGTTGACATACGAGGAAGACTTGCATTTGCCAATGCTGCAGCACACAGCAGAAGAGTTTGGCAGCACTTGGTCTCAGAGAGTAGATCTAGAATAAGAGTAGAATAACAATATCATAAATATTTAGAAAAAATAGGGAGAAGTTAAATCAGTTTTATGCCTTACCTGTTAAAGCACGTACAAGCTGCGTCTTATGTTTATTTAACTCTTGTCTCCAATCCCAATTCTGGTGCTTATTGTTCTTGTCTTTATTGATTTCAGTCTCATTAGTGACCCAAGGTCCTGTAATCTGGGTCAACACAGCACAAGCTTCTCTTCTTTCTGGTTCTGCACATCTTTTGTCCTCTAAAATATCCTGAAGAACTGACACACCACCGGCCTGGAAAATAATAGTTGAATCAAAAAATCTTGGCTTAGAATTATTGACAGATGTTTGTTTTTATCAAGAAATTTCATTTGTTAGTTTTATGTTTTCTCGACGTTTACAGTCATTCTGAATCGAATAAGACTAATGGGGCAATTCTGCCTCAACGGATCTCATAAAGGGGCGTTGTCATGGCAACGCTTTCTTCTGCTTGTTCTTGGTAGCAAAAATTATGAAAATGTCTTTCTATTTGCTGTGCGATCAAATGTATTTTACATATAAACAAAGCAAGGGAGAATGTTATGATAACTGCATCATCGAAGACTCTGTTTTAAGATTCTTCTTTGCTTTGTTTATATGTAAAATACGCCTGATAGCACAGCAAATAGATAGACATCATTTTCACTACCAAGAACAAGCATCAGAGAGCGTTGCCATGGCAATGCTATTTTATGAGCTCTATTACGGCAGAATTAACCCAGAAAAGGTTTTCTGTACGGAAAGTTGAAATATTCGTTTTTTTAGTTTTTATTACCTGACAAAACTGCCTGATACTTTGTTCAGTTTGACACAAAGTCGCCAAAACTCTCAAAGCTTTTCCAAGACTACTAGAAGGTGCCGTGAGTTGATTTTCCTCACCATTTGTATTCTGTCTTAGTGTGTATGTATGTGAGTTGACACAAACAATTAAAAGAGCTCTGATCAAACCAGCTTTAACAGCGGAGTACCCGATGGCGCCCCCATAAGCCGAACATAAAGCTCCGAGGCCTGATAAAGCGGCCGACAAGCACTGTGATGAAGGAGGTTCTTCTAAGGTGTCTGATAGTATCTGTGGATGAAAAAAAAAAATAGACTTGATTGATATTGATCACCAAGACTTTGATAAAAGTTCAAATTTTACCTCCAAATATTTCAAACATTGTTCTTCAACATGTGCCCGAACACCAGTTGCTATTCTAGCCAGATCCTCCAAATCTGTTGGTTTTCCACTGACTTTGACTGCATCACATTGTTTTAATAGTGCATTACTTGATGGTGTTGCCACATTCGATTTTACAAATGATGTCACACCTCCCAAAGCACTTTGCAATAATGGACCACTGAGTTCTGGCTTGTTTCCAATGATGCACCTGAAACAAAAAACATAGTAATAAGAAAAAAACTAGTAGTGTATGGCAAATTATTGGCCTTAAGGCAAATTGCTGCAACTTCCCGTACCGTAATGAAATATTCGAGAAATTTTAAACGTTTTCAAATATATTATCACAAATACTGTGACTTTCATTATTTTTGCTATCTTGTTATATCTGAGCTAATCAAATGTAAATTATAAATCAATTTATCTTCAGAACATTAACAATCGTCATTTCATTTCGAATTCAATTTCAAAAAAATAGTTGACTAATTTATACAAAATTGAAAAAGTGCTCCTGCATAGTCGCAGTCTAAACGCATTTGCAAATAATTCTGTGCGACATTTTCACTTATACTGTGCTTAGCTTGGCGACGTTTTCACATTTTTCAATAGTTTTCACAAAATTGGAAAAGTGGTCCAGTGTATAAACAGTCTAAACGCACTTGGGTAAACGTTTGTACCAGAGTGGCGCTTAGACTTGCTTAGTCTGGGTAATTTTTTGAATTTTTAATCCAATTACAAAAATATTTTATGGAAAATAAATAAAGTTGTAATAATTTTTTATCCTCAAAAGCAATTGTTTTGTCAATACAAGCAGAAAGTTTTTTAGATCATTTAAATCGGACGCTTAGTTCATTCAAAAACTGCCATTTTTCTCACATTTAGCTCTGTATCTTTGAAATGGCTGGACCTGCCTTCGCCAAAAACTAATCGGCATATCTCCCTATCAATAGGAATCGAATGTTTTTTAAACCATACAAATCGGTTAATCCGTGCGCCCGAAAACGTGGACGAAAAAATGCGGACATACAAAACACACACACACACATCCGTTTTGTCTGAGGTATGCCAAAATGTTCAGAAAACTTCAAAACGTCGAGAAATGAAAAAATTTTATTTACGATTTTCGACCCATTACTATAACTACCCTACGGGAAGTTAATGAATGAAATTTTGTTTTTGGAGCAACATACTATAGGGACTTTTCGGAAATTCTATAGCTAATGTAATTGGAGTAAGAAATCAGTATATCAGGGTCAAAAAAAATAATTATTATTACCACTATCTATTACTTGCCTTTGTACGTTTTCCAGTTCCTCCAAAACTCCTGCAGCATGCTCAGCTATTCTCCTCACAGCATTCACATTACTAAGTACACTTTCAACATCTTTATTGACAGATTCAGCTTTCAAATTTGACTTAAAATTGGCACTTCCACGAATAGCCTTATTTTGCAGAGCCGTCATTGCTTCTGGTTCGCAAGTGTCAGCTAATTCCCTCAACCAGCTTTTAACGCTTTCTGGTCTTTGTAAAGATTTCCGAGGTTGAGGTATTACTTCTTGTTGTATTTTAGAATTGTTACTTTTTGGTAAATTGAGGTCTTCACACACTTTTAGTGCGTTTGTATTGTTTTGTATAGCGTTTGCTGGTGTTGTCTTTTTTCCAAAAATTTTGGTGAGGAGATTTTTATCTTTTTTGATTTTTGGAGTTCGTGTTTCTTCAAAAATATTTTTATCAGCTTCTTTGTTAAATTTTGGCGTGACGTCTCCTGGTCTTTCTTCTTCGAAGATATCTTTAGGACCTGATCTGTCCGGTGTGTTTGACCTAGAACCTGTACTACTGGGTACCATATCTTTTTCACAATTAGTGCTTTTGGATTTCACCCACACCTTGCCATCCACAATTTTAATACCGACTTTATTCTCATCCTCATTTTTAGGACTGTTTTCCTTATCACTGTCTTCTGGTGCAGCATTGAATCCAGCAAGTAAATTTACTCGCCTATGCACTGCAATTTTTCTGTGACTAACTGGGGTCAATTGCTTCACTTCAGATGGTTTATACCATTTTGGTGTTGAAGTACAACTTGGAGCCAAATCACTATCACTGGATGGTAAGGTGATTTCATCGCTTAATTTTCCACCAACATTTTGATCGTATGTTCCAGCATACGGTTTTGAACTGCTCGGCAGTTGCAATTCGTAAGTTTCATTGTTATAACATTTTTTAGCATTTGCTGGTGTTGAAAATGCTGCATCAGCGATTTCAGTTTCTTGTGATTTTTTATTTGCACAGGTAACATGGCACATGTTTTCAGGCGTGGTTGTGATTTCTACAGTGTTATTGTTAGGTTCAGGTTTTTTGGAGTAAAGAATATCATAATCATCGATGCTGTTGTAGGAATTAACACTAACGGTTGTTACATTATTTGCATCACTTTCAGCAATAATTTGTGGAGTGTTTCCTAATTTTTCTGCGGACAGTGTTAAATTCAACTTGTACCTTGCACCGTTTTTATCGCTCCTTGGATTAGGCAAACTTTTATTCGCTAACCCTTGCCTTTTTTTATAAAAGTACGAATCATCCATAGCACCTTGACTGAACGTGTCAGTACGCTTTTTAGGTGACACTATTTTAGCCATGTTCAACTCATTATCTTGAATCATACTATTTCTATCGGTTTCTTCAAATAATCTGCTCTGGTATAAAGGTGAGCCTGTTAAATTCAACGAAGTTTTGTGTCCATCTGGTAGATCTTCAGACAATGTTGAAACATTGCTGAAATTTAGTTCATCAAGTTTTTCATGGAACATTTCAGGGGACAAAGATACTGTCGATTGATCAGCTGTATAACCTTCTTCATTTATTGGACCGCAACACATTTGAGAGTAATCTATGTACTCAATTTTTCTGGATATATTTTTAGGTACATGTCTATATACTTCAAAACTTGACATGTTCGACTTGGTCAAAGTATCTGCAATTAAATTATTTTTATCAAGTGTGTCATCTTTTGTTTTTGTATTGGATAAAACTTCAACGTGGCTGATATTTTTCGAATTGTCCTCGTCAGTTTGATTTTTTGTGACAGAAGGCTTGAATCCTGGTAAAGGTGACTCACCATGATCAAACTTGTAAATTAATCTGTGAACACTGTTTGTTCTGCCATCAGGACAACTTCGAACTGATAATAATTTTGGTCTACGTTGCACGTTACTGATATCAACATCTACACTTTTTGATTTTTCTATAATATTATTTTTGGTTCAACTTTTTTATCATCTTGATGCGTTTGCATAAAATTCTTCAGTGGTGTTAATTGTATTTTTTGCAAATCAGGTGTAAAACCTTTTTGGATACTATTGAATTGAGCTATGGTATTTGGAGTACTGGTATTAGATTTTTTAGGAGCTTTCAAGTTTTTCCAAAAGTTTTCATCAAGTTGACTTTCAAAGTCGATTCCATTGGAAGTACTTACTTTTACATCATTTACCACTGCTTGATCATTTCTGCTGCATATTGCATCGGAACTTTTAGATATCCTCAAACTTTCAATGACTCTCTGCCAATTTTCTTCTCGTTTTATCGGTTTCGGAGCAGTTTGTGCTGGTGAGCAATCGCTATCAGAAAATCCTGAATCTTGACTCCTATGACTTGCTGGACTTGCCGCTCTCAACATTCTGGGGTATGGCCTGGGACTACCAGAAGAAAGATTTTGAAAACCTTCTAAATTATTTTTACTACTATCTAAATTTTCCACTACATTTTTATCACCAGAAAGTTGGTGATTGGGGGATGCAGATTGTTGTTCTTCGTAGTAAGTCGGCACGTCGCGTACATTCTGGTTCTCTGCAAGGTATTTTTGTAAAATTTGGTTATCAATTGGCGTGTGCTCGTTTTTCTTTAAATTATTTGTAGTATTTTGAGAGCTGTTTGAAACATTTTGTGCGTTTTGTGGCGTTTTAGGTGCTTGATATGATGTTGGATAGTCATCTTCGGAGTCCCACCAGACCTTGCTTCTTGTTCTTTGGAAATTCGACATCTGGAAGAAAAAAATATATATGAAATAAATGAAGCTTAAATTTCAAATAACTGTTTTAGATAGAAAACCACTAAATTTATGGTATGTTTTCAGTTAAATATTTTTGATAGGTTTTTGAAGAAAAACTTCTATAGGCGCGACTAAGGTGTAGATCTACGATATAAAACTGACTTCCCTAAATTCTGATTGGTCATTTGTCCATTACATCATTTGAAGAGTTGATGCGATTAGTCGAGAAAATGGATATTTGTGATTCATTAATAATAAATATAATCAAATTTAAGAAATATGAAATTTAATAAAAATTTATACAAATGGCATCATGTAGCTCTCTTAAAAGTGAAATGTTAAACAAAAAATAACAACAAAAAATAATAAAACTAGTGGTGTATAGCATCGTGCCTTAAGGCAAATTGATGAAACTCCTCTTGCCGAAAAACCATTAAAAATTAAAAACTTTGGAAGAAATGAAATTTGAGATTTTTGAAAATTTTGGAAAAAAATGATTTTTGAAAAATTAAAATTTTTTTTTTATATTTCGAACTTTTTCAGAGCAATCGAAGAGAGATGAAATATCGAAGCGCGTATTTTAATTTTTTGAAACTTTAAATTTTTTTTTGGAAATTTTCAAAATTACGAAATTTTTTGCAAACGCATTTTGTGCACACAAACAAAAGGTTTTTTTGAATAAATCTAATACGATGATGATTATGTAAAGCATAAATTTTTATATGACTATTTTTTTATCTTGTCAAAGCTTTTTTATATTTGTGTATGTTGTGCATGACAATTTTACAAAACATGTCATCGTATTTATAATTATATTATGAAGAATACGAGATGCAGAACGTGTTATAGAATCTCAAGATAAGATTTTGTCATCTCATCTAAACATCGAGATGATGTGTCATCAAACATTTATTTATTTAATTGTGAATAAGTGTAACAGACACAGTGTTATGTATCAACATAATATCTGATGAGTAATTTTATACATAAAATTTATAAATTGAGTGCTCTCTATCGATAATTATTTCATAATAATTAATTCACACATTTGCAAAACCTTGGAGTCAGTTTTCCAACCAAAACACTATGCCCAGAATAAAATTCTGGTAGCAAACAAACAAAAATTATAAGTAACTTTGCGCTTTAAGGCAAGTTTGCATCGACACACACACACATCATTTTTTTTTAAAATGTCAAAATCTTCAGAAGACCTTGAAACGTAAAGATATGCAAAAAAAATATTTTCAATTTTTTTGCGCTTACTATAATTTACTGTACGGGATGTTACCAAATATTGGAATTTAATGCTTCTGAACTTTGAGCTCCACAAGTTCCTAGCTCACAAATTTTATAATTAGGCCCCACTTGATCCAGACTTTGACATCCTTGCTAACAATTTTTCATTTAGCATTACTCATCGTTTGGAATGAGTTAATTTAAAAAATAAGGCGCGACTTGTTTACGTTTTAAACAATGTGCATTGTTAAACAATATTGCTCCTGTTGTAAATCAGATTATATAAATTGAACTAGCATTTATGATGCTTTCTCACCTATTGGCATGTTTTATACACTTAACTTATGGACAGAATTGGGAAAAACAGATTTTCCTCTATCCTCTATCAATTACAAGAAATAATTAATACCCTTTTAATATATTTTTGAGTGATTCTTGGTTTCTGAATTTCTGAGTTTCTGAGTGATTTTTTCTAGTAAGAATGATGATCTCATGTAATTGAAATTACATGAAGATAGTAAAATTGCTGTATTTAATAAAGGAATTTGAAAACGACTAAATATTTTTATATGTAAAGGAGGTCAAGTTAATCCTAAATATTTTATCCGAAGCAAATAGATAGTCGGACGTGATCGATTTTTTAGGGATTTTTGGACCCCTCTCCTCCCCCTTGGTGATACGTCGTAATATTTAAAATTACCTTACCTCCAATTACATAACAAATTTATGTAATTTTTAGTTACATAAAATTTTTCGAACGAATTTTTCGAATTTACGAAAAAATCGATTGTTTCTTAATGTCTGTTTTTTCTTAAATTTAGATAAAAAATAAATACACGTGATATTGTTGTCTACACCCCCCCCCCCTACCCTAAAAGCATCACGTAATTATTAGACGCCCCTAAAGAACAAAATCTTCTAAAAATGCATACTTATTAATTCCACTTCAATGATAATTTTTAAAGTAAAGTATTATTTATCTTAAAAGTAAAGTTAATTTTATAAGTAAAATATTAATTCACTTCATAAAATAAATATTTATGACAAATTAGTCGCGTAACAATGTCACAATAACCAGATTAAAAGAAAACTTGATATTGGTAAATTCTATAAATTATCACTATCAATAAATAATTTTATTTAGAATTATATGTATATCTAAATAAACTATTAAACATATGTATTTATACACACATACATATTTATATATGTATATAAAATATGTTATCGACAAACATTCTAATTAACAGTTGTTAGCCTCAGGCAAAATTTCTAAAATGGCCAAATCATATCACAAATCTCTATCTCTTAGAATTTTAAATGAAATAACCGATAATTAACAGATTTTGTGAGATATATCCATAAATTTGGAATTCAAATTATATGTGAAAAATAATTTCGATTTGCAGATATTATCAAATAATTTTCATTTGTTCGACAGCGGACCTTTTCTTTACAATCTCTGCTTTTTCCTTGATGTGTTACCTGTTCTCCAATGGAGTAAAAATAAAATCTAATCTAAATCAAACACAATGGACCATTATTATCGTACGCTTCGAAAACAATTTGCATTTTTAAAACGCAAACAGTATCCTTGAATGGGAAAGGATAATTGCTAATCCTTCTGGTGGATATTGCAGTACACCTGTCGAGGTCAGGTAGAGGAATATAGTAACATTTACTGGAAATTATAAAATAAAATAGAGAAGTATTTTTGCTACCAGAATTTTATTTTGGGCATAAATCTTTGTTTGGAAAACTGACTCCAGGGTTTTGCAAGTGTTTGAATTTATTATTGTGAAATAATTATCGATCAAGAGCATTCAATTTATAATTATAATTTAATGTATAAAATTACTTATCAGAAATGTTGATACATATCAATATGCTTATAGCCGTACACTAGTAAATAAGAATTCAATTTTCATATCCTTAAATCTTCATTTATTACAAGAATATTTATACTTTGTTTTTGTTTCAAGACTAAATCCTTAGTTTGTAAGTTTTGACTTCAAACAATGGTTATCTTGTCAATAGACTTGGTTTTTAGTAAACAATTAAGTACTTGCAATAAACTTATTTCTTGTCTACAATAAATTTTTCTAATCAATCAGCATACTCACATATTTCCCAGTCCCAGTATCTATACATTATGTTTTGGGAACATTATTCCCCATAAGTATGAATTATCACACTTTGATAACATAACGTTTTATAATTATTATTATTCAAAGTATCGCCCACTGATTCGATTGCATTTCGAGATACATATATTGAAAATTTATATTTATATTGCTATTGTTCACACGATCGATTCCGAATTCTGAACACGTAAAGTTTGTTGCATTCCGAAACGTCTGGTGAATGGAACGTTAGCTTCTAACGTCGATGGAATAAAATTTGAAAATTTTACTCAGAATTCCAGACAATACTATGGAGACACTATAAATTACAAACTTATATATGTATGTTTGGACATGGATCTCTAAAGCTCGACAAGCTTTTTTTTCACTTTAACTTGGGTTAAACCTAATACAAAAATCAGTAAGTTTCTTCGGATAAATATTGATACGGAACCCATAGAAATGTGAACAAAATTTGTTTTTATTCTCAAGATCGCTATCAAATATCCAATAATGTGTCCATGTTTAATAAAAAATTTTGACCACCAAATCACATTTTTTATATTGGATCTTCAAAACCTGTCTTCCCAAAAATTGTATCAGTTTTTTATTTCGTCAACACAAATAAAATGTTTTTTGAATTATTTAAATCAGAAGCTCCATTCTTTCAAAAACTGAACTACCATTTTTGGCTCTTTTTGCCCCGTATCTTTGAAAGGGCTCGACCTGCCTTGTCCAAAAACTACTCAGCACGTCTTCTTATCAATAGGAATCGATTTTTTTTGAGTTGATTCGTGTTCACGAAATCGTAGACGAAAAATTGTATCCGCACATACATACATACATGCACACACATACACACATACATACATGATTTTTTTCTAAGGTATTCCAAAATGTACAGAAACATTTGAAATGTAAAGGTACGCAAAAATTTACATTTTCCATTGTTTTGCGATTATCATAACTTAGCATATGGGAAGTTAATATCTTGTAATTATTTAATTGTTCACAAAAAATAACTCTACTACAACCGTTTGAAGCCAAAAATTAAAAGCTGCATTTTAGCAGTGTTGTTTTATATGATCAGAGATATGGACTCTTTAAAATGACTATTTTGTTATTCTTTTTTTTATCATTTTTTATGGTTGATTTAGATTCATTAAAGCCACCACCAAATCAGCAATAAGTGAAACTTACCGACTTAAAAAATTAGCTTCTAATTTTAAAAAATAGATAATTTTTTCCATCATTAGAACGATTTACAATTTCTTGCAGAATTTACCTTGAAAAGTTCAGATATTTTTGATAAACCTCCAGAAACAAAATAATGAAAAAAAATGAATTAAAAAATATTTTTTTAACTTATGCATTATTATATTACAGGGAGAAATTATTGCCATAAATACTATATTGCTAACAAATTAATATATAAGCAAAAATTATGTGATTGCTTAGTAAACATTATGTTAGAATTTCGTAATTGTAAATCGTATATATATATATATATATACAACAATATCAAGATATATATATATATATATATATATATATATAAAATGGCATTTTACATATTTATGAAATTACCGAAGGTTACAAGATAGGTTGGGCCCAATAATAATTACACGATCA